AGGGTGCTATAATATCCCTTATTAGCAGATTTTTTTGAAACTATAGATTTGCACTAACAACATCTATGACTTTGACCATCACTATGTCTTTAAAAAAATCTATATTAATTTAAGGCTGTGTATGAATATTGATAATTTATTGGTTTAACTTTTGATATTTGCTTAAATAAATATGTTTACTACTTTTTGTGTGAATTGCAAGCACTTTTTTTTTTTAATCTTTCATTTTTGTGTTTCATTTATTTTCTTTCTTTTTCTTTATGCAGAAAATATGCTGGCAGATAGAAATTAATTCTGGTTGACGATTTAGATAAAAAAAAATTAAAAGCTTTTAGTGAGGGAATGGTTGTTCGGGACTAAAAGGTTCGAAAGACGATTACACTTAAAATATACCCACACTCAACACCGATTGTATAGCTCTCTCCTTTCCTGAAAGTCGTTTACTAAAAATGGTCATGATTCATTGAGAAACGGTTATCATTTAAAGCTATTCGTTTTAGTTAGACATTCTCTAGTAAAAAAAATTAACATTAAATACTGAGTAATTTTTTTTATATATTTTATTTTTTTTCATTTTAGAGGCTTTGCATTGTATTGTATAAAACATACATACTTTTATAAATTACTAATAGATTTGATCGTATTTTCTTAACACTTACTAGACAAATGCTATTATACTTATATAGCTATACTTATTCATTAAATTTCTACAACTCTAATTATCCATATTTAATGTACGTTGTTTGTGTCACCTCATTGGCTATTCGACGAGCAATTCTCTCACTTAGTTTTATTATTTCATAATAAATTAATGATATGGACAATTAATTTTTTTCATATATATTTAATTTTAAAATATGTTTCTATTACTTTCCTATAAATGTAGCATACAGAGTGTTCCAGGGTTGAGTAGCCAAACTGTAAAAATAAACTGAGGACCTAAAAACATGAAAAAATTTTCCTCTGAAGGTATGTCCGCAACGCTTTGTTTAGGAGATAGTCATACCTAAAGGCAGAACAGCATTGAATATGTGTTATTCTTTCACATCGCACATCACTTCACAAAATTCAATTATCCTTCTTCGTAAGGTCATTGAAAGGACTTGTTCAATCATATCCCATATCCCAATCAAAGGATTGGCCGTGCAGAAACAGTGGCTTGGCCTGCACGCTCTCCAAAACTGACACCACGGATTTTTTTTAGTTTGTTGGTGACATTATACAAAAAGTCTATGCGAGTCACGCTAACTACCTTAATTCCTTACGAAGAAAAGAATTCTTTTTTTTAAACAATAACACATATTTCTTACATAAACGTAGTTCTGCCGCTTCTGCTGTTGAAGAAAGTGCCGAGCCTGTCTTAATGCTGAAGGAAATCCCTTTGAACTACATTTAATGTGAATGGTAATGATTACATTTAATTAATAACGTAGTAAGAACAAATAAATAGGTTTTATTTATTTCATATAACGTAAATAATTCATAACAAAGAAAACCTTTAGGTGTGAATAACTCCTAAATAAAGCCTTTGCGGACATAAATTCAAAATAATTTAAAATAATTCTTGTTTTGAGATCCTTACTTCATTTTTGCAGTTTGGCCACTTAACCCTAAAACAACATGTATAGTAATATATACTATTGCGACCTTGAAAAATTTCAAATCTGAGTTTTCGACAGAAATACACATTTTGAGGTCCTCTGAGGTCTAAATAAACAAGTTCCACAAAATGATCTCTTTGTGATGTAAACATCTTTAAAAAAATAAAAAGCCTAATATAAACTAAAAAACAATTCTGTAATTTACTAAAGAACATAAAAAATGTTTCAATCTGAAAATGAACTTTTCCAAAAATATTATACATAATATTTGTTAGATATCATTGGAAATGTTATAAAAGATTATACATTAAAGTTATTGTCAAGAAAGATAGTGATAGGTTTGGAATTGAATAGTTGTTGATTAAATAATTATACAAATTTAATATACAATGTCAATCTATACATTGTCACCAATTAGTTAAAATTATGGTGATTCCACTCACATGACTTTCCTCCCGATTCCAAACAATTTTTTTTTTTCAATTTTAATCATGTTCACTAAAAATAACACAATTAAATTGTACCAATTTTCTTGATGACCTTTCAAAGAAATAATTAGTGTACGATTTCTTTGATGAACTAAAGCAATATAAACGGGCAAGTGAGCAATTATTAAAATCAGTGTATGATATTCCATACACAAGTTTGAAATTAACTACCAAGCCTCATAAATTCAGCTCATAATTAAGAATTTTATCCAATCTTCTGTAGACGGTATTGTCATACCGCTTTAATTTGGATCGTCTGTAGTGTAAAGTAATCCATTTAATTCTTCTGTGGCGTAACATATATGACTGGGTAGCAGCTTTTACATATTTTTACAATTTTCTTAAAAATGTCCTTAGCGAATTAGTTTAAGCGATCTCTATGAAAGAATATTTTGTCAGTTTAATTAATATCTTATCTAGAATAATAAAGGCAAAAATAATAGTTACACTATTTTGTGTTGCTTAAATTGGAATATCAAAATTCCTACAAAATATAAGCATTATACATTTCTTACACAATAAAAATATAATGATTTGCTTCCGCCCCTATTTAAATTCCCCCCTTTAATGCAAATTACATATTCCACCTCGCTTAGTTTTATGCCACATTTAACCAAATTTAACAGTCCCGTTAAAGCGAGGCAGATAAGATTTACTTATTAATAATTTATATAACATCTATTCAATATTACCCACTTTCCAATAATAAACGACTGAAGTTCAATCAGTTTATTATTAATAGGATGTTGATATTATTACATTTTAATCCAGCAATAAATATAAATACAAATTTAGGAAGAGAAAAAGAGTTGAGAATGACGAAGATGGGATCAAATTCCTGTTATTGGCCTGGTTAGGATTATTTGTCGACTATGAACTGTGACCCATATGAAGGATGTCAAAAGTTGCTGAGAAGTTTGATCTAAAACAAGTTTACGCCTTAACTATCTTGAGATATATGAGGCAGTCACTCGATAAAACTGTTGACTACAGTTATCCAAGTTCTGAATTTTGGAAATCACGGTATTCGAATGACAATCAATTTGTCACAGACAGTTTTTCCTTATTTGGGAATTAATATTTTTTATATAATATAATTTATATTGAAAAATAATTTCTATTTTAAAAAATATGTATACAACATATTCCAAAACTATTTAATTAATATGCGTTAGACCATCAACGCATACTTACTTAAATGAGGTAATTAAAAAAAAACATATAATTAAAATCAAATAGTCTACTGAATATATTTCTTATATTTTACTTATGTGATGCTCTGACTTGGAGAAGTCATACTCGACTGAAAAGTAAATAACTGCATTTGGACTACTATCCAGGCTACTTGATAGATGCTCTTAATAATCCTTAACTAACAAAATTAATTTCTACTAATCATTTATAAAGTCATTATTAACTTACGGGATAGGGTTACGAATAGTATCCACAAGATTTAACATTTTTAATCGAAAGTTTTGGGAAAATTGCAGAAGCATTTTTCTACGTTATAAATGACTTGTTACACAAGGACTTGGACATCCAAAGGGCTTCAAATACTGCAACACAATATTATAAAACTTGTACTAGAGTCTAGAGTTCATGTCTTCACTCATCTTATTCTCTACTTTAGTTACCATCTTATCAGCTATTCATATTTCTTTATTTATTTATAGATAGTAGTTTGTAGGTTTTATAGTTCCATAATTCGTATTTCACAAGAAAGGATTTACAGCGATGATATTGGATCCAACTGTCCGGTTTTAGAGCAATTACATCGACCAGGCGGTTGAAGTAGAAAAGGAAAAGAAGAAAATTTATGACAAATGTATCCCTTTCCTAAAAGAAAAGTTCTTCGAGATCTTCGGAGATAGTTTGCCATGAGAGGACTCTGGTTCAGGTCTCGCGGAAGAATTCTAAAGAGAGGAGCTTCCTCGAGGAACTAGATGTTTATTACATCATTACAAAACATTATTCTAGACTTCCTGGGAATAATCCATTACTACTTATATTGTAATTAACCGTCAATTGTTGATGTTCATTATCATTTTTTTAATCAATTTTAATTTTACCATAACCCTATTTTTTTGTTTTATAGTTATAATGTGTTATATAGTTATAGTATCCAATTGATAGTATTTTATATGACAGGGAGGAAAATGAGAATAAATAAATATATATATATATATATATATATATATATATATATATATATATATTATATATATATATATATATATATATATATATATATATATATATATATAAACTCCTCCTCCCTGTCATATAAAAGACTATATATAATTACAAAATAATGTAATGTATGAGTTACGTCCGTATGGATTGATTAGTATGCTGTCTATGTACAAAGCAACGCTACGGAGTAGGTCAGCAGCATTACTTTCAATTCTGTACTTTCAAGTATTTCTCTCCCTCTCTCGTTCTTAACAATAAGGACTTATATTCGTCCTGTATCTATAATGTTATCTTCAATCCTGAAAATGGCTAACATAATTAGGTTGAAACTTCGGTAATAAACAATAAAAAAATTACTGAGCCCTGATTATTTGTCACTTATTATATCTAAGTGCTGCTAAAATACCATTATTTTTTTTCTATTTTAGTAAAACAAGATGAAATTAACGAAATAGATGTTAAAAAATAAGGACATTTAATATCATATAATGGTTTCAATTACAACATTTGTTGTTTTTAAAGACAGCTCTAAGCAAAGTTTAAAACGTTGATTAATTTACTTGAAATATTTGGATGGGATTCATTATATTATTTATTACAATAATGTACCAATCTGGAATGTATCTATTAGAGTAACCAACAATTTATATATATTTTTGATTCCAGATGTTTTTGTTCTTATGTCCTTTGATGATAGATTAGGCTGACACTTGATGCAGTTTTATTAAACTTTATTATTTATAAATACAATTTTAATTGAAGTTCAGACGAATTGAATCGTTATCCGATAGCCCCACCAGTGTTGAGTATGTACCCCGGCAGAGCTGTGATGTTGAGGACGCACATGTTGAAGCCTCCTACGGAGAGGCAGCCGACCAGTGGGTAAAGGCAGCAGTCCATCCTAGCTGGGGTGCACTATCACAAAAAGAATGAGTCAAAGATTGGTTAGCTATAAAAAATTATATATTATTATATTAACCCAATACTATTTTGTTGTAAGATGAACTTATTCATAGTAGGATAAATAAATTCATTGATGTAGTCAACCAGTGACTACTTAATCAGGATGTATATTTAATGGTATTATCAGTCGTGTACTATGTATGAACACTATAAATTATAAATTTAATTGGATAAATTATGGAATGGCGATGCTGCTGCTATCTCTTGCTTCCCAAGCGATTAGAGAGCAAAAGAAGCAGATTAGAGATAAGGAGAAACAGAAATGGATTCCTGTATGCCTGAGATCTATGAGCTGGTCAGCTAGCAAGCTAAAAAGTTTTCCTATCATTTTTCTACATAAAATTATGGATTATAAACTTTAAAATGCCCAGGAAAGGGACTAAGAGGAGAGGGAACAAGATGAAGACAACCACCACAAGTTAAATCACTTGAAATTAACCACTAATAAACCTAATTTAAAAAATAAAATATAATACTTTAGAGGTGGGTAAATAATAGACTTTTTAATTATAATAAGAAAAAATGTAATCTTATTTAATCACGTTTCGGACCAAACGTCATCCGGATTCTGGTTTGAGAGACAAGAAGAACCCAGATTTCAGCAGTTTTTGTCTCGACTCCAAAACAATAGCCCTGACGATTGTATTATTTTTGCTTTATTTTTACTTTTACTTGTACCACGAATTCTCGTGGCCGAACCCTGCTGTCTGCACTCAATTCCCAACTTTTTCACCTCCTTTCCCCCAACTCTCCTACCTATTGGTCCACAGATCCCAACCGTAATCCTGATCTTCTTGATTTCTTTATCGACAGTGGCTTAAGTCCCCTCAATTGTTCCATTACACGTCTAAATGAACTGTCCTCTGACCATAATCCTCTAATTCTTAATGTTTCACTTGAACCCGTTCCCAAACCTTCTCCACCGTCATTCATCAGGGGTCCAGTTAACTGGGACCTTTTCCGCCAAATCACCTCCGATAAAATTGATCTCAACATATACCTCAAAACTCCCGATGACCTTGATAGTGCCGTAAATCCCTTTATTACCACAATCCAACAAGCCGCCTGGACTGCCTCCTTTCCAAAAGACTCCTCAAGAATTCCTATAAAGACCATTCTACCCCAACACCTCCTTGACCTAATCCACACCAAATGCCGTGCCAGATTATTGTGGCAACGTACCCGACATCCTACCGACGGCTGCTCCTATAATTATTACTGCAAAAAATTAAAACTGGAATTAGCCACCTACAGATCACAATCCTTCAACTCCTACCTATCCTCTTCTCGCGACAATTCCCTTTGGAAAACCACAACAAAAATCCTAAATCCTCACCGCATTTCCCATCCCCTCCGACGAGATGATGGCTCCTGGGCAGCATCTGACGAAGATAAAGCTGAGGAGTTCGCCATTCACCTATCCAATACATTTATTTCATATCCAGAATCCCCTCCTGCCCACATCGTAACAGTAGAAGAACTCCTTACATCACCAATCCCACTTTCCTTGCCCCCAAAAGCTATTCATCCTTCCGAAGTGAAATTTCAATTAAAGAAAACTAATCCCCCGTAAAGCTCCTGGACATGATCTCCTTACCTCTCAAATCCTTCTACAACTTCCGTCCAAAGCAGTCATATTCCTTACATATATCTACAATTGTAGCCTACGCACCACCCACTTCCCTGTTATGGAAACACTCCACTGTTATCCTTTTCCTAAAACCTCCCAATAGCTCAACATCCTATAGACCAATTAGCCTACTCCCAATCCTTTCAAACATTTTTAAAAAGATCCTTTTGAAACGAATCCTACCCATTATAGAATCCCAGAATATCCCTTTCCATCAGTTTGGTTTTCGATCTCAACATTCTACTGTTCAACAAGGACTCCGAGTTGTTGATCATATTTCCTCAGCCCTAGAAAACAAGGAATACTGTTCGGGTGCATTTCTGGACATTGCACAGGCATTTGACCGGGTATGGCACTCCGGACTGCTCTGCAAGCTTAAAATCCATTTACCTCAGTCCTTGTACCTAGTCCTCCGATCCTACCTCTTTGACCGCTCCTTTCGAGTTCGCTGTGGAACAGAATTTTCCAATATCTACATCGTTAAAGCCGGTGTCCCCAAGGCGGCGTCTTGGGTCCCGTGCTTTACATCCTCTTTACTGCTGACATCCCTGTTCATCCCGATACTTTTCTTGCAACATTCGCTGACGAAACCGCAATCTTATAATCCAACTCTGATCCCGAAATAGCATCCTTAAATCTCCAAAGCCACCTCACATTGATTGAGCACTGGTGTAATAACTGGCGCATTAAAGTTAATGAATCTAAATTCCAACATATTACCTTTGCACTCCGACGCAATTCTTGTCCACCAGTACTCTTTAATTCCATCCAGCTTCCTTACTCAGACACAGTCCGGTATCTTGGCTTTCATTTAGACCGAAGACTAACTTGGAACTCGCATACTAGACTCAAAAGACAAGAACTCAACCGACGATACGGCTAACTATACCGACTACTAAACAGAAAATCTAAACTTTCTATTGAAAACAAGCTACTGATCTACAAGACAATACTGAAACCTATTTGGACTTACGGACTAGAACTTTGGGATCAGCAAAATTTTCTAACATCAAGCGCATCCAATCCTTCCAGTCAAAAGTCCTTCGAACAATAGTCGATGCTCCTTTCTATGTAACCAACAAAACCCTACATCATGACCTCAACATCCCATTTGTCCTGGACCTTATCCCAGAAAAATTCTCCAAATTTCACCAGAACCTTACGTACCACCCAAATCCTCTTGCACAATCCCTATCAAGCACCTCCCATCCCTATAATCCTCCAAGAAGGTTGAAACGGTAGTGGCCTCGCGACCTTTTGTAGATTTTATAAATTGGAGTTCTGGCAATGGCCAGATTCTTCACTCAAGACATGAGTGTATGTGACTAAAGCGCTCTCGACCAATCTTCGCTGGCTTTAGTACCAGTGATGCGGTTGGGAGAGTAGCGCAGGGTTCTCCTGGAGTTCCCTCGCCTGATTGCATATAGGTATGCATGTGTTTTTTTTCTTAGTTTTAATTTTCTTATATTTTAGGTTATTTTATTTTATTATCTATTGTATATACTTTTGATTATTATTTTGTGATATTTATTTTATTTTTTTGTACATATAGTGTGAATGTCATCATACCTCACTATAACCAATGTCCAAGAGACGGATTGTTATAATACTCAATAAAGAAATTTAAAAAAAAATATTTTACTTGTATTATAATTTACTTTCATCTTGTATTATTTTAGTGTAAGTTATTTTTTCTATTGTACACAATGTAATTTTGGTTTAGGAAAAGCAACATTTTAGTTTATATTTTACTTTTTTTTTTTTTTTTTTAAACTTAAAAATATGATATAGCTATAGTATATAATTTTTGATATTTTGTATAAAATTTTATGTCGTATTTTTCCACTTTATTTTGTAATTTTAATTAATATTTGCTGTTTGTGTTATATTAAAATATTAATTAAAATACAATATAAAGATTTAAAGTTTTAAAATGGTATGGAGGTGGTTGAGATGGACAGTAGATTCTTATTTCAGAAGAAATTAGTCAAGGGGAAAGGAGAGGGAGTTAGGAGGTATGGTAAAAAAAATACTATTAATTAATAAAGTATTTTTTGATCGCACTCTCCTTCCGACTCCCCATTCCAACGGAGAAGAAATTATTTATCTTTATACAAAAGTTAAAAAATAATTTACTGTAATCATAGCCTGTTTCCAAGATTAAAAAAAAAAAAGAAGTAAAACATAAATTTATTGTAGTGAAATAGTATTATATTGCAATAGTAATAACAAGTTGGTTTTAAAGCATGATGTTTCTACTACCGAAAATTCCATCAATTTTATCGAATAGATATTGATAAATTAAAAATGGAACGACTCAGAGATGAGTATAAAAACATTTTTTTTTTCTTGTTACATCGCTCTCATTATTTATTTACGTGACCACGGAGGGAGGATCTAGAACATGTGCCTGCTACGTGACATCTGCCAGGGACATTTTCCATCGCCGCCGAACCATTTTTATACGTTCAGTTGGCTAAGTTATGAGGCCAACTTGGCTGTAAGAATGTCAGCTGTATTAATCTTTTATTTAGAAATTCTTTAGCGGGCAACATTCCCTGCCGCCTCCCCTCCCCCACTTCGATCCTGTCATAGCCCGCTTATTAAAAACTTTGGCAATGAGGAAAATTCGCTCCAGACGAATGTTCGTCCGGAAAATATACTATAGTGTAACAATCAAGATAAAACCAATATTTTCCAAACTATTTGACATTTGAAAATTCATCTAGTTTAGATTTTTAAAAATCATTACATATTATCTATTATTCACTTATCACCCTATTAAAATAATTGCATTTCTGCTAATAAAGGGCTAATTAATTTTTTTTTAAATTATTATAAGGCCGTAGGGATTGATGCATGGCGCTGACTTCTAGTGGTCAAGACGCCAGGTTCGAGTCCGGCTGATGACAGATTATTTATTCTGTTTCATCGCTCGTGGATCGATCCAGGAGTCGGGGTACCTTTAATCAAATAATTAATGAGGAGTGTAGATTTGGCGACTTAGAGTGGTCTTGGTCAGATCACCTCCTACCACAACCATTGACTAAGGAACAGTACTCCATCCTTAGTACTGCACCCATGACCATTAATGGGTTAATGTGGTACAGTTTTTTATTATTTATAGGGTATTAATTTATCCGCATGTGTTTATTACAACCTGTATTTACTGCTTCAGGTCTTCTTTTACAAAAGTTTGAAAAAATGGTTTTAAACATTTAAAAATATATATATTTGGATTATTCAAGGTTCAAAGTATTCGTAAAACTTTCCATTTAGTTAAAAAAATATATTATTTTTATTTTAATATTATATTTTAGAA